TAATGCAGCTGCTGACTGCTTAGTGCAGCTGCTGACTGCTTAGTGCAGCTACTGACTGCTTAATGCAGCTCCTGACTGCTTAGTGCAGCTGTTGACTGCGTAGTGCAGCTGCTGACTGCTTAGTGCAGATTCTGATGCGTAACATGAATCCTATTGATAACAGCCTGTACTGTATCACGAGGCTCATATGCCAATTTGAAAAACATCATTAGGTGCAAGTTCGATCAGCAACAAACTGTCAACTAATTGTCATTTTTGACTGGTAACCTATGCAGTAAATATATATTGGGCACCAGACAAAATCGCCTAGTGGTGAAGAGAGGCATGTTTTGGCGACCCGAACCATGAACTTTTTCCAGCTTATTTGGTCATTGGTTAAGTGTTTTCATGACTTGGTTATGCCTCTGTGACATCACTGTGCCGACCAAACGAGAACGGAAGGTTGGAGTTGGTTAAGCTCCAATTAAAAATGGTAAAAATGAAAAAAATTTGTCACCCTCAAATGAGTGAATGGTATGCTTCAAAATTTGTTGTTACATGCTGTGAATCAGAGAGATGCTCTCTTCTAGAACATACGTGAAAAGAGAGAGCAGCACTGGTGAGAACCGTGCCAAATATTGAGTAAGAGTGATGTTCATCGTCAGTGTCATCTGCTTCCTTGCACTTACCCATGTCAGATGACGTAACCGTGTCTGGTTCTTCATTTTTGTGGGCCACCCTTAACATGTTCCTGGTTATTGCTTTGACATCACAAACATGTTTCTGATTAGGGGTCGCCAAAGCGCGCCCCAGATTGTCACTGACTGAAATTGCCCCTAGGTTTTACAAGTTAATCGCGGCAGCACAAAAAAACACTTTCTACAGTTACTATTGATGTTTGAGCAGCACTTGTATTAAACTGGGAGTTACTCGATCATACAAAATCTTAATTCTTCTGTTCTCAGTCCCAAGGACGAAGTTAAGATCAGTGACGGCTGTGCACACTTGGTCCAGTCCCTGGAGCATGCTAGCATGAAGGTCCACATTGAGATGGTGATTGCCGACGCCTCCCCTCTACACTACGACATCTTTGTGTCGTACAGTCACCGGGATTCCAAGCTAGCCATCCCCGTCGTTGAGAAGCTGCAGAGGATGAACCCCGGCTTACGGATCTTTTTTGACATTCAGGAGCTCAAAGCGGGTGAGTTAAGACTCGGACTGTATTCTTTAGAAGTAACTTTTTGAGAACTTTTGCCATAAAAAGGTTGATTTAATTTATACATCACAACTGTACGGTGGAAGTCCAATTAGTCGTGAGTTTCTTTTAAATGTGGACATTAAGAGCAAGCATTAACAGTTGAACCTTTGAGCACTGCAGGCTCGTAGGCTCGGGGGGGGGGGGTTTGGGGAGACACCCTCACTCTCTTCCGAGCTCTGCTTGTTGATATTTTTAAAAAATAAATACATATTTTTAATATACCATAAATTTGGAATATACGCCGCTGCTTATACATTCTAAAATGTCCCTGTTGCTTTAACCCGGGCGGGATATGCCGCAACATTTGTAGAATGAAATCAGTCACTGAATGGTGCGCTGTGCCTGCACAGCCAGACACGAGTACAAAAGGGCGCCATGCTCCGCCCACCCTGACAAGTGGGTCATGCATTCGTTGGTTTCCATTTACATTGGCTCTACTCGCGTGTTAAAAATGAAGAAAACCAGTCCAGAGAGACTGAATAGACTTGTAAATGTACTGTAAGTACCGTTAATACCTCACAAATCCTGTGGTGCGTCTATTCTCTTTTTTCACCTAGCGTCCGATTCAGGGCTCTAGGTGAAGAGCAAATTCACACCAGGCCAATTTACAATACGCCGTGAATTGAAACCTGAAGTATACAAGTTTGAAATACATCCTTCAGTTCACGACAAACATGCAACTTGTTCCCGAGCACATTAAGATAGGCCTTTGTATAAAAATGTGTTGTCACAGTGCCAAAAGTTCCACTTTTGGGTTTGACACCCCCCCAGTATTTGGTCAGGCAACGGGCCCGCACTGTTAATACATCAATCCTCTTAAAACGAGAACATTTTTCGGTCCAAATCCTTTGTTTTGCATTGTTTTCATTCCTGTCATCTCAAGTTCAGTTGCAAAGTCCAAAGGATCTCTTAATTGATGAGGTAAAAAGGTTAAGGTCATAGATCAGGGGAGGGGAGAGCAGCTCACAAATGTATGTAGAACTGGGGATGTTCTGGTATATTTGCCATTTTGTCCTATATGACAACTTGGCTTATATCACCTGGCAAAGTTCAGTGAGTGACCTTTTGTCAGTGGTCAATTTTGCCAGGGAACTTGTGCATAAATACCCCGTACATATCCAAGGTACCTTGGCCTAATCTTTCCTCGTGTTTGCTGTGGTCCGTAGTCTGGTAACCAGACTTAATTTGATCGTTTTTTTTATCAAGGCACGACTTGGCAGAAGATGTTGTATCATGCCATAGACGGCTGTCGTTCCTTCATGGCCTTGGTTTCCAACAGCTACATGAAGTCTGCCATGTGCATTGAGGAATTCAATTTAGCCTTAGCAAAGCACTGCTCCTTGGTGAGTTGTGTCACGAGACATATTCATGGGCTTTTATTCTGTTGGATTGAGAAAGCTTCGGTAGAATCTGGCAAATATGTATCCAGTGCCCTTTGAAACAAGAATGTTGCATTAGGGTTTTGCACAGTGATAGATTATAGGGTTTTAGGAATCAAGAATGCTTTGCAACACTTAGCAGGGAAATGTGTTTTGCTTGGTCTTTGAATACAAATGCTGATTTTGTTTTATGAGCCCTGAGTTGGACCAATAGAGGGCGTAATTCCCTAGCAATGCAGCTCCTTTGGTGGGAACTGCAGTTTGCTGGTTCACAAACAACTATAAAACGCACACGTTACAGTCGCATCACTACCAACAAACTGAATACTCCCCACCAACATGGCTCTTTTCAACCAATGAGGGGGTGCTTCTGCTCAAGCAGGAGAGTTTTGGCAAGAAATCATTGGTAATTGATGCTAGAATTGGAATCATTTGTAGTGCCCATGGTGGAGATGTAGTGTAAATGTTTCCATAACCTGGAACCTTTCCACCTGTTGACTGTAGGAATCTCAGCTGCGCCTGGTCCCCGTCTGCATCGAATCCCTGGTGGACCCGTTGCCAGAGTTCCGGCAGGTGAAACTGATCAACGCCACCCCAGGCGTGTTTGAGCCAGCCATGGAGATCATCTGCACCTCGCTGGTGGACTGGATTGCAGGCAGAGGTTGGCAACCACAGCTGGACTCCATCTTCAAGAGAAAGATGGTAAGTCTGCTTACCAGTCAGAGTGGCAGATTTTCCATCTAGTGATAAACCCAGTGAATCCAACAGATGCCAACGGTAACTGATAGAGTGAAACTAACCGTTTCAGTGCTCATGTTGACCAGGTCAAGCACTGAATATTTGGCCTACTTCATCAGCATCTGCTCTACACAGTACATTATTTAGTGTGATATAGAGTATCAAAGTGTGACATCATTTTGAAGCAAAAGTCTAGTGCAAGCAAATGGAGTGTGTGCATGTTGGTTCACAAGCTGGTTCTTGCGCTAATGTCTTTTACACACACAATTGTCCGTGTAACATATTTTACTCTGGTCTTCTATATCTAAAGCTCATTATGCTGCTTGACCAAATCCAAATGTTTTCCTGTTCTTGTGAAACAATTGATCATTTCTGGAAAATTGTATCAAATAAATACTGATGAGAAACCCTGAGCAAGGTGTGTGCTCTAAAATCCATAAATCTTTGTGGTGAGTTGAGAATGCATTTTTAAGCATTTGTGTTTTTTTATTGAATATAAATAGCGGAAAATCCTGGATGCTTCAGAGTATGCTGTTGAGCGTAGACGACTCGAGTTCACTCTCAAATATGGCCGGGGAGAAAAGATGCTAAAGCGAGATGATGTGAATTACCCTCCGTCATTGCATGGTGTGTATTGTCCGCGCGTGGCCTCCGAGGACACAAACTCTGAGGATGCACCTTGTGATGTTGCTTTCAGCTGTGCTCCTGAGGACAGAAAGTTTGTTTCCCTTGCAACAAAGATCCTCCGCGAGGTCAGTCCAGGGCTTGTTATCAAAGAAACAGCAGACACAGAGAATGAACGCCTGGCTCTCATGGAGTCTGCTCGGAAAGTGGTCGTCTTCCTCTCGGCAAATTACCTGGAATCGGTGGAACAGGTGGAGGAATTCCACACCATTCTCTTGAGGCAGAGATACCGCAGCCCGACGCAGGTCCTCTTTCCAATAACCCTGCACAATTTGCCGCAGCTGCCCACGTATTTCCACCTGATTCCCTGCGAGTTCAACCTCTTTGATCCGTTGTGGATGGACTTGTTCCTCAAACACGTGAACATCAGAGCCCTGCGGCAGATGTACAAAGTGCACGCCGACCACAAGGTGGAGAGATACGAGAGCATTGGACTGATTGCAGCCATCCACAGTCTGCTTGCGGAACTCCAAAATGAAAGGTGGGTGCAGACTTCTGAATATCCCGACAAATGGAAATGCGAGATATATATGTTAGAGAGAAAAGAAGCCACACCTTCTTTGTGTTTCCATTGGCAAAGATGGCTCAATGGCGGAGAGGCAATGGGGCCCCTCCCCCAAGAAGCACCCCACCCAACTCTTTTTTTTTTTTTGACTCATGAGAGAAAGGTGAAATTTGTGTCTGTTTTGTGTTCCTTCCTTCAAAAATTAAGTATAAAGCCCCGAACTGTGGCTTCACCCCTCAGAAGGTTTCATAAAGAAATTCCCCAATTTCTGGCCTCCCAAACAAGTTTGCCCCCCCCCCCAAATTTGGTTTTTGTATCTGCCCTTTTTGCCAAACATCAACTAAAAACAGTATCTTCACTTTTGTAAAGAATTGACTTTCGTGTTACATTGCTGTCGGCAAATGACAAATTTATTTGATGAGATGAGGACCATTTGAGATGCTTTGAAGCGTTAATAAGGGTATGATGGACAACCTTGGCTGATATCATATTGTGAGGAGGATTTCTCTATGAGGACTTTTAGTGTCCCCCATGCCACAAATTTGGGCTCCTAGGAGACCCCATAACTATGGTTATGCTGTACCAACATATGCATTCTTGGACTTGACATGCGTGAGCATTTGGAAAATCACAACACCCTCTAGGTTGAAGTGCCAAGCAACATGCACAAGCTGCCCACATTCTCCACAAGTGCTGTACGTTCCACCACACGAATGGCTTGTAATTCAGGTTGCCGAGTTCACACCACTAGAACAAGATTCCGCGGACATGGACGACAATTAAACGCAGAGTTTGCTGTTTACCATCCTTGAAAGCAAGACCTTTGAATCCTCTGTCTAGCTCCTTGTCATGCATGTTCCTTGTTGGAATGGGCTAACTTTTCCTTAGTTTGTACATAAAGGCACTCATTTTTGTGTACAGTGCGCCTGGTTTCCTGTGTCATTTCTAAGTACAAAGCGTAATTGTGTTCCCAGCAACTTATGTAGTATTTAAATTTTTTGGAAAAATGTTCCTTTGAAAGTAGCTATCCAGGAAATATCAAGTTATCTTCACCTGTTATTTGAATTAGGGAGCAACCCCCTGCTCTCAAGACCAGTCAACAGCCGATGCTACTTAACGTCCTGCTCCTTCGTGCAGAGGTCAACAGACTCTACAAGAAAGTGAAGGAGGCTGGTGCCCAGGATGGCGACAGCAGCGATACAGATGGTAAATGTGGCAGCAGTCATGAAGGCAGCAAGGATGCTGAATCGCAAGATGATGATGTAAGTTGGGGACGGGAAACTACACGTAAATGGGAATCGTGGGTGGAGATTTCTTGTCATGTGGGGGGGGGATTTCTGAAAGCTCAACATGGCCTCCATCCCAAGTGAGATCTCAACACGGACAAGTGCATAGTCTGTGGTGCAGGCAAAGGGTGCGCGTATCGTCAGTGACTTGAAAAGTGGGGGATGATCCCCTGGGTCAAAAAGTGTGGGGGAGGGGGGATCTCCGCCCATGATGGATATTATGGGATGCAGATATTGTGTAATTGGGGTTGTTGTGCATGTACAATATATGACATACAATCCATAGTGTAGTGTGCAATACAGGCCTGTAATATATAACATGCGACTGTTTTTGCTAAGAGGAAGAGCATCATTTTGAGTCCTCAATGGTGCTCTGTAATTTCTTTATCTAAGAAGTGTTGTTTTAATTTCACTCACTTTTAATTGCATATGTTATCTTGATTTAGACTCCTAAAGCTTTGAATAAATACATGTAGTATTTCATTGCTGAAAAATGAAAAAAAAATGACATGAACTTGGCTGAAACACAATCCTTTCTCTTAACTTGGAACTTAATTTTTTAGAAATCCATATTACTGAATAAATGTCTAAATTTGGCGTGTCTTTTTCCCCCAATCCATTTCTCATTGCCAGTATCTACTGAATATAGTTGAGTTGCCACCAGTCACTGAGAGTATTGGGACAGGAAAGGAGGAACCAGGAGCAAGATCTATTGTGCCTCCTGAAAGCACAGACCTGATTCTGGGGCCAGAGAGGGAGATGAGCTGACTGTGAAATCCAAACCCTCTCCAGAGGCCCTGCCTTCAAGCGCAGGGGCCGACTCCAAAAATTGCAACAACTCCAAATCGTCTTCTCTCGAGAAGAATCCACGAGGAGCTGTGGACACCAAGACACAGTCTCCCAAGGAGAGCTGTGCCGAGGCTGAACAGGTCTCAGTAGGGCACGTTGAGGAGCGGTCGCGGATAGACTCGGAAGAAGCTGTTGTACCCTCGTCTAAAAGTGGTACAATTACCGGTTCGTCAGTTCCTGAACATAAAGATGACGAATTAGCAGAGCCCAGCTCATCATCTGAGCAAGTTGGAACACTGGACGCGGAAAGTAGAGCACCATCTTTGCCTCACATCAAAGAAGAGACCAGCAGCGATGCTGTTGCCAGTCTAGACGATGGCACCCCAGTGGATGGACCATTTGTCCTTCAGACGGAACAGCCACTAAAGACTCAGTCNATATTGTTTAATAAAACTGAGGAAAAGTTTGAAAGGTTTTTAGTAGTGGCTGAAGTATTAGAATGTTTGCTAACCATTTTTGCTTCCTGAGAGAAATACGTGTGCACTGAAATGTGCTGGAGAGTTCCTAAGAACTTTGTGCTTATTTGATTCACATAGTTAGCTTGTCAGTTTTATAGACCAGGTCACAAACACAGCTTAAAAATGTTCATTTAAAGTGTATATTTCAGTGCCGAATATTTGAACATTTTGCAATATTATAAGATAATTTTCTTACATATTTTTGCCGGTGTTTGTAAATAAGCTGTTTGTTAACTTCACATTGAAGTGATTCAAGTAAGCTTATTACATGCCTGCAGCATGTAGACACGTGAATGCACGGCATATATTGGATTTGATTCAAATTTTTACAATAGTTATGCCCAGTGTTTAGTCAGAAATTTATTTCTCAAGGAAGTTGGTATATCATTATTTTTTTAATTTTGAGATTTTGATACAACATTGTACATGATACCAATACATTTGCTCAGTCCCATTTTATGTGATGTATATCTGGTGTAATTATATCACCTACTAAATGGAAAGATGTATACATGTGTGATTTTTATGAGTTTGTATTTGAGTCTATTTGAATGGCCAACATGACTTAGTAGGTCATGGCAAATTTTGTACTTCCATATGCATTGAAATCGGCCAGTTACATTTCCCGATTTGTACAGAATAAGCAATAAGGTGAGGATGCTAAGTCATAATGGTACTTCTCATATGGTATTGGCGAGGCTGCTATGGTCAGTATTGGTGGGAATGGTAGACATGGTAGAGGTGTAATTACTGAATCCACTTTAACTTTGAGGCTGAGCATTTTTTCATGCTGACAAAAAAGCTACCTGTAGGGTACGGTGATGGAAAGTGTTACATGCATAAGGAGACCATACATTCTGAGGAAATTGAACTGCTCGTGCCAAAAGCACATTTACATGTCAATGAACCTGTATGTGTACGCATGCACTGAGTTGGCACCCAAGGACCATATGATATAGCATGTAAGAACACCGCATCGCTTGTAGAAGGCTGTAGAAAGTATGAAACCCATATGGAAGTCCCAAGGCAAACTTGTAAAGCTTTTCTCAGAATTAATTTCAATTTGGTGGTATCTCTCTGCTTCATTTTTGTACATTGACCAAATTCAGGACGTCATGTCTGAGCAGTGTTGTGCGGATACACATCAGAACATGGGGAAAGTAGGTGCTTGATTCTGACACATTTTGGAAGGTGAGCGAGACTTAGTCTTGCTTACAGCTGGGGAAGATGCATTTGTTTGGAGTTTTCTTTCTTTGTCAAATGACCGTCTTCAGAAGTTGGTGTCTTTGTGTGATTTAGGATGTTCCTCTTGTGTGTGACATCTGCCCGTCTCACTATGCCCAAGATAACGAGATTGCATCTGGGGTAAAGTTGAGACAAAGTTCCACACTTCAATGCCAGACATCGGGATCTATAAGTATAAGAGTAGTAAACACGAGGACAAGAGTGCAAAGGACTCCTGGCAGGAAGAAGTGTTTAATATCATGTAAATATGTGCCAGGATTTTCCTAAGTAAGTATTTAAACTGTCTTTCCATTTCAGAGAAATTTTGTAAGAAGATATTTGGTCAAAGTGCTTAATTTTTTTCATGTTGAAGGTCCGCAAATGTGGTTTCTTGATATCTTGACGATTTTACTTTGTAGTCTTATGTCCTGCCTTTCATGAGAGCAAGACTTCATTGTGTTGACCTGTACAATATGGTGGTCAGTTGTAACTGAGAGCTCAACGAGACCTGACGTGGAAGTATCCAAGATACGCGTACTGTAATGAGGCGCACATTGTCAAACTGTATTGGGTTTACCTTTGACCTTGGATGCATGATTTATTCATTAAGTCTGTAAGCATTCCACTAGTTGTCATACCGCGCATCCAAAATGTATACTTACCTAGGTCACAACAGTAAGTGTATCATGTAATCTGTACATGTATAATGTATACATGTGTGTGGGTTTAGGCATGTGGCATTAACAACGACAACTGGGATTCGAGTCATGCTCGACATTTTGTTTTCTCACTGTTGGGTATTGCAGTAGAAAGCTTCAGTAATGTAATCCTAACTTAAAGAAACCTCGTTTTGATAAATTGTATTGATTGATTTATATCACAGTTTATACGGAGTCAACATCCCACAGTGATAGACGAATTTGTTTCGCAAGTCTGTTATTTTGTGGCATCACTGACCACAAAGCTAAGCTTATTGGCAGTCTCACAGAAACTGCAACACGTTCATGCTTGGGAATTGTACGGTATCAAGTACAGGTGAGGTAAGTTATCAAGCTTCTTCACTGGATTGTCTTATTTGGTTTAAACTTGGCATCATTAGGTTTCAGATGGTACTTAAAAACTTTCAGGGGTGCCAAACAGGGAGTAATCGCTCTGTCTACATACATGTAATTTATATTCCAACAAGTTGACCAAACTGTATAGAGGAAAGGCTTTGGTTTTTCAACTCTGTAAATACGATGGCCCGGGGTTAAAACCCAGAACAAGTTAAAATGCTAACTTTTGGGTTAGCCAACAGACTTTTTGTGGATTTGCCAAAAGACTTTTTGTGGATTTGCCACAAATTTAGAAGTTCATAAACATTCAGAGGATTTTTGCACTCCAAGTGTAATATAAATTTAATGGTGTAGTTTTGAAAGGGGGTTCTCTAGTTCTCTTTTTAAAAATTAATCTTATGTTGGTGATTCTTAGATGTTAATTTGTATGCATCCAATAACTTTGAATTGTCAAATTGTAGTCGGTCATGGTATGTCTGGGCACTGGCCACAAGTCTTGACAGCAGTTACACTTGAATGATTTTGCATTCCATGAAGGGTCACATGAAGACAATCACAATTCAAAAGAACTTCGCAATGTACATTCTGATGAACACATGTTAAATGTTGATGCTATTTTTTCCAAATAGTCGTAACATTTTATTCTTCTTTTGTTGGATTTTAATTGAATGAAACGTCCACAAAATCTCGAATAAATATTTGACCTTTACAGTTTTGCCAAAGCTATTCCTTCTGGAGAGAGTGCAAGTTTTGCAGTGATGAAATTATGATGAATCATGTGACAAGTTTTCACAAGTTATCCAATCTCACTTATGATTTTGCATTTGGTTATTTCTCTTGGGTCTGTAGACGAGACTGCAGAGCATGGCACAATTTTAATTGGAGTGCTTGTGTTTAAAGGGGAATATCTCTGGATTGCTCAATGCATTTAGACGAGGTAAAAAGTGTCTGAGAACTATATTGTTTGACTTTCCTACCGAAGAAAAATGCCCCTTTAATGCGGAAAGGCCTTAATACCCCCTCCACATACACTCCGTGTTTATAGAAACTCGGTCCCATTGCTTTTATGGAATGCCAATGAGCCAAAATTTTCCTTGTGGTACTATCACATTTTCTGACCACAACAATTGCTTTTTAAGCCTTAGTTACGATGGTGCCTTGTTGAAGTTATTCTTTTAGCGTATATGATTTTGCATGTCTAGGCCCTCAATAGCTGTCTAAATTAATTATGTACACCCTCTTTCCATTACAGAAAATTGAGACAAGTTCCCTAAGTCTTCTATTGACAAGTCCAACCATAGACCTCATAGCATTGACCATAAACACTCATTGGGTGCAAATACTGTACGTAGTTTAAATTGCAGTTGATGAAATTGTATTGGTTTCATTAGGCACACTTCCTCTTTGATGTTTCATGTACAAGTCTGTGGAGTTTTTTTTTTGTGCCGATCTGCACTGATAGGCATTGTATGTAAATATAGGAAATATATAATATCCCAAGGAAGAAGGAAGCTAGTATACCAGGTAACATCGTCAACAGGGTCACGGAAGTTTGAGCTGACGTGCAACTCCCAGTATACTGAAGGCATATGCAGGTAGCGTGTATTTTGTCAACTGAACTATGGAGGTAGTAATGGCTCACTGAACAGAGTGAAATTTGCTGTATGTGCACATGTGTGATGAATATGTTATTACCCAGTATAGAGCACCTAAAGTGTGGATTTAAGTTAAAGAGCAACTGCTAAGCAGCATTTACATACTTAAAGAGCAACTATGAGAAAAACATGTTTTCTCTGATTTTTATCTGTTCAAATAAATTGAAAACATCCAAATCGAACGCACTGTCGTTCGTTTTCAGAGCTCAACTATAACAAGCTTTTTTCCTGTTTCCTGTTCATTCCAAGATGCAAATTCTGAACATGCTGAATTTAGATTGCGTCATTCAGAGACAACAAGGGGAACCCTCACCCTATGTTCATAGTGGATAAACCCTTGGCCATTGTTTGATGTGCACAAGAGAATCATCCACTACAAACACAAGGTGAGGGTTCCCCTCGTTTTATGTTTTCTCAGAATGACACAATCTACATTCAGAATTCGCATCTTGGCAGGAACAGAAAAAAGCCCTTTTTAGCTTGTTACAGTTGAGCTCTGAAGACAAATGACACTGCATTCGATTTGGATGCTTCCCTATTTATTTGAACAGATAAATTCAGAAAAAACATGTTTTTCCATAGGGTTGCTCTTTAAGTCTATAAATGTTGTTTAGGAGCAGTTGCAGACGGCTGAAAGTTTGTGGTAAATTGTTATTGCAGAGTTTTGCTAAGTCCTGATTGGGCTTATATGTAACTCTACCATCGCATGATCAACATGACCAGTGTACCAATTGTGGACACACTGGTCATCAACACCCAGACCAGTGGTCAGTGTTGTATCGAATTGTGCCAGGGAGATATCACTGAGTTGGACGTCAAGGACAAGGTGGACGTCATTTGTGTCTCAGTATTGGGACGTGAGTACACGTTAAAATAATTTAATTTACAGTTTTGATCCAGCATGCTGAGTCAATCTATACAATCATTCAATCACACTACACACAACTGGAGAACTTGGACTTCACTACCCCTTTTCAAAGCAGTCTGGTGGATTGCAGGAAGTCAGCTGATGATGGAATCGTATCAAATGCTGAAGATCGATTAGACTTGAATCAAGTTGGACTTACATGTATGTTGCTTTTGCAGCCATCCCTGCAGCCGTTACGCACTTCACGGTTGTCACGCTCGGCCCGGCAGCTCACTTATGAGGTGCCCTCATTTGATAGCCTTTAATGTACAACGTGTGTCATACGTCACCAGTCAGTAAGTCCGACTTGATGGATAAGCCAATCGGACCCCCAACAGTGATATTTAGTTATTCATAATACGAATGGCATGATCTTGCATAATGTATATGGAATTTCCACCAATCAGAGTAGTCAGACTTGAAGACTCGTTCATTCTGATGCATATGAACGATGTAAAAACAAGATACGCAATGGGATTGGCTGCTGCCACTTTTGGTCGATGAGCCCATTCGCTGTGTACAAACGGTTGGCAGATTCATCAAGCCGTAATTTCTGAACTGAACTCATAGTACTAAGTGGTTACAAGGGCGCGAAGCAAGTAATGGCGCGTGGTCTCGATACATATCCAAAGCAGAAAAGAAGACGTCATAGAGATCCCAACTTGAGTTAAGTCTAAAGATTGATCAACTGATCACACAAAGATAGAGCTCTACTGCACAAATTTAATGCAGTTGGCCTTTACCCTTTGTCTGGTAGAATTCTATCATCTTAAGATTGGCGAGTTCTTGATCACACGTTCTTTAATTATTCAGATATTTCAGATTTACAAAGCAAAACTCCCCTCCCCATAGATCGTAATGTTTAGCTTGTAGTTTAATTTGTATCAGTATTCCTTCAGTCAGACGTCTATTCAGGTATTCCATGGTTTTCAGAGGATAGTGTTGTAAGTTTGGATTCACAGTCATGCAGTGGAAAGAATCATTTCATTTGGTGCATAATGGCACATATATCGAGATGTTTTATAATACTGTTTGTCGCTGTAGCTGTTAGGACGAGCTGGCAATATTTTTGGATATCTTTGCAATGCCATTAGATTGAACATGTATGTGGTTAACAGAGAAAACTTAGAAAAATTTCATTAATTTAATGACATATTAATAATATCCATGTGTTCACTTAACATGTAATTACACATTTTGGCAGATTTGCAAGTGAATGTTGGTTTCTGCCTTTATGTATGCTAAGTGGCTGCTCCAGTGATAGTGTGGAAGGGGGGGGGGGGCAGTGAGTAAGGTGGTGCTTGAAGGTCACTGTGTAAATCACACTGTTCATTCATCATCATCAAGGAATTTCATTTATGTGACCTAATTCTGCAGGCGACTACTGTACACCAGCCAGCACTTTGATCGGTGCCCTGCAACACAAACTCAATCTCAGCATCAGGGAGCTGGCCAAAGATAAGGAAGAGGACTTACGGCATGCCTACATGTGCTGGTGGTCCAAACCGCTGCCGAAAAAGCTGCCTTATAAGAAACTGCTTTGCTTTGAAAATACATGGTACAGTGTCTTTGGTAACTGGTCCCCTGTCAGTGGGTTAATGTGTTAACCTTTTGTAGCCATTTGGTTTGTTCAGTTGATTGTGGTCCTGTAGTGGTCAATTTTACTTGATCTATTGATTGTTCTGCCATCCGCCTTCCAATTCATGCCTCTGGAGGATCAGAAAAGAGAAAAGTTTGAGACCTACTACAGAAATGATCAGTATAGATGATAAGTAACCTCTTGAGGACAAAAGAAAAGTCAGGGACCCGTAAAAAAAGGAAAGAACAAACGGGGGAAATGGGTGGGGGGCACCCATTCTGGATAGTGGCATGATGGTCGCAGCAGGGTATATCTCTCTTAGGTACCAGCTCAAAACGAGGAACACAGTTTTGGAGAGGATTTGAAAGGAACATGGATTCTGAGTCTTGTGGGTGCTAACAAATAAAGACTGTGGTGTGGAGGAAGTAGGACAGAGTACAGGACATAATTCATTTATGATTTAATTGTTTCTATTTAAGGGAAATTGAAGTAAAACTGAAACCACAATTAACCACATCTAGATCTATTGATGTCATCTGTGCATGTGTTACCAAGGTTAATGACGTATTATTGCATTGGCTTATGTAAATCTCATGTACATGTTGTGTTATGCTGGTACCCTACCTCCAAATTGCATTTACTCAAGGTGTAAGATGGAGGTGATCAAGCTAGATCACTTATGTAGATTTTTTTCCCATGCTATAATATCTTCCTCACCAGGGGTAGGTATTGCCCTCAGGAGTTGGTGGCTAATGTGTTCCGCTGCCTGGTACCCATCCTCAACAATGAACCAGGGACAGTCATCACTCCGCTGCTCAATACAGGAGGCCAGGTGAGGAGAACTGCTCAAGAAGCCGTTGTATTTGCAAACCCTTTCCTTCTTTGACAAGCTGTTTTCTATTTCCTGTATGTCTGGCCAGAAGTGGCTTTTGTTTGCATCTCCCAAAAGCTGTGATACTGCGCAGGCAAATAGTGACTCATGTTACCTGCATCGTTTCACATGTAACACCACTGTCATTGAGTGGTGTCAGGTTGGCCTCGTGGTTCTTTCCTCGCATTCCACCTCCGCGGCCTGTGGATTGGGTTTTCAGTCCCTACCTGATTCCGTGGGTTTTACCCAGAGTATTTCTCTGGGGTTTTCCTCCCACCTCTAAAACTGTAACTGCTTCTCATTGTCTCCTCTCTACAGGTTTCTTCAGGGCTTGTAAGCTACAGTGCCTGGGGTGCTTTTGAGAAATCCTTGGTGTCATTACCAGAAATATATTATTATTGTAATAATAATGAAAATAATAATATCAATCATGTTATTTTTATAAAAAGTGTAAGTCTGTGTTTTTCTGTGTTTTCTGAAAGGAGTAATGATTTTTTGCTCATGTTGCCAAGGACGTCAATCGTTTTACCTAGTATGCAGTGGGGTAGATCAAGATAGTATGCAATCATGTCCAAATGTGCTGATCAGTTGATCCCTTTAAAAGTCAGATTTCGTTTCACAGAGAAGTTGTCAATTCGCGTCATGCATTGCAGGGCCATGATGAGGTAGCCATATTGGTGGGCATGGTGGAAGCTGCCGCCAAATGGATGAAGGCAGGCCTGCCTCTCAAAAAGCTCAAGATTGTGCTCTATGCCACCGTCTTCAAGGGTAAAATCACCACCATGCGCATGAGAGATCCAGAGGGGATTCTGACGGCCTTCAGAAATCTGAAGGAGAGATTCAGCAGGGAGACATTCATCCCAATGGTAAGTTCATTTATGCTAACATTCACCAGAAATGTAAAAGTTGGTGGAAAGTGGAAGGACACTTTTGTAAACAAATTTATCAAATTAGTGTGAACATAAAGTACTGTGACGCGACAGAGGGCGCTAGTCACTAGGCACGGTGCGAAGATATAGATGGCGCTCTGCCCAGTAAC